AACCCTATATAACCCCTATAATCACAGGTCCTGGAGCTCTGCAAACGAGCCAAAGGTGGCAAGGCCCTACACGACTTGGGGTGTGGCTTTGGGAGTTTAGAGTTGTGGGGGTTGAGGGCTTGGCTTTAGGTCGTGGGGTTTAGGGTTTAGGAGTAGGGTTTTGGGGATTAGGCTTTGAGGTGGGTATTCTGATCCCTTTTTGGTCCGTTTTGGTCCGTTTGTCAGCGATCCTGAAGTTTTTTGGCGCATGCCTACATACCAGAGACCTCAAGCTCCCTTCTAGCTAGTGCAGCGAGGTCATGCAGAATTTATATGTAGCATCAACAGAGCCTGGTCTGTGGCTATGACAGTGTTCTTTTGGGTTTATCTCCAAAGAGAAACCAAATCAAGGGAGGCTCAACCTTGCTTGCCATGTTCTAAGCCTTAGCTCCAGGACACGAAGATTCCGAACTGCAAGCTGAAAACTCAGAATAACCCCAAATCCAAACCCGAAACTCTAGGATCCAACAACTAAAGCCCAAGACCCTAAACAACAACCTAACTCTGCCAACCCGATTTAGAGTCGCGGGTGGGCAGGTCGTCGAGGCGCCGGAGGTGGCTCCTGAGCTGCAAGCAGAGGAGCCCAGCCCCGAGTTGGGAGGAGTCATGGTAATGTGAAGCCTATAAGGGTTTAGGGTTTAATGTTAACTTAAATTTAAGTTATTATATGGGGGGACACCATATTAATTACAATTACTACGTATACCCATAATGCGTAGGAAACCCCATTATTTGCTATACATACGCAACGCAACTAGCATCTTTAATATGCATCAGAACTACCAGATTAAATTCCGACACCATGATGATGGAAGAAATCCGGCACCGCCACAAGCACCCTAAATCTAGCAATTGCATGGTTTTTGGGAATCTAGGTGGCGCAGGATTTCCTCAACCAAGAGTTTGTGTGCGCTACTTCCAGTTTTTCAGCCTGTCTTGTAGCTTCAGCTTTTGCTGCTGCCAGCCAACGTCTCGAACCTTACGTTTCAGTCGCTGTGGCCTCTTGTTTTCAAGTGCAGGCCTGCCCGCTCAGACTCGTTCTGCTGGAGTAGACAGGAAGTTCTTGAATATGTTTGAAAGAATTCCTTAGGGCCATGACCGTCTGCGCGGGGTCGTGTTCTACAAGACCTGTTGCCAGAAAGAGCTTCCATAGCAGAGGATGTCCTTTGGCTATGCTCAAGATCGCGCCCATACTGTGCAGGGACATACAGACAAACCCCAACACTCCAAGAGCGGCTTTTTTTGATCTAAGTTTTCCTTGCAAAGGTTTTTTCAAGATACTGCTGGTGGTTGGGAAAGCCAGGATTAGTTGGCATGTCTGCCATGATTGCTGGACCAATTGAAGCATGCAGCTCTGTATACTTATCATTGGCAATTATTCCCAGTAACACCTAGAAAACAATATCCATTTCATTTTCCGTTTGACTTTCCATTGTTGGCGTTATACATATATATATATATATCCCCTAGATAACGCTATAGAATCCGGATATCACCCCTACGTTATCTGCTTTGAATCCTGGACGCTGTTTTGCGGTTGACTCACCTCCGAGGCCTGGACCTCCTGGCTACTTCACCTTGGCAGCTTCCTCTGTGCGCCACAGGGCAAGAGGGCGGGAAGGGTTGGGGAGGGTTGGGGAGGGTTGGGGGATGGGTTTGGGGGGATGGGATGGTGGAAATATTCCTTATTTTCTGTTCCGGCAGCTTTGCGGTTGGTGGTATTCATTTGTTAGTTGGAATCCGCATTCTTGCTGTCAGGGTGGTGGCTTCTTGTGACTTGGAGTCTTGGCGGGGTAGTTGTGTGTCAGATTGACCCCGGGCGTCGCAAGCAGTTTGTGCCCAAGCTCAGCAACCTCTTTGCTAAATTAGGCAACCATAGTGCATTCCAAACAAGCATCATTGTGCTTTCTCTCCGCCTGAGGCCTTTGCAGGCGATTATGCCCCTGCTACTAGGTGTTATTCCTGCAAGTAAGCCTGAATCATGGTGACCAGAGGTACCCGCGCTTCGTCAGGGAGGCGACTTGCCGCAGGGGCCCGAGCAGAGAGCTTAAGAGCTCCAAAAAGAGCGCTGTCTTTTTTATATATTGGGATAATGGAAAAGAAAATGGAAACTACAGAGGTTATAGGGTTTATATAGGGGTTATATAGGACTTATAGGCTACTGGGTTTCAAAGTTTCCAACCTTGAGCTGCACTTGGCATGGCTTGGATGTGTACTTGCAAGGCTAAGTAGCTTCAACTTCTGCAGCCATGTGCACAGAGTAGCACCAACTCGGGTAATCTTAGGGTGATATAGGTTTACATGCGGGTAATGGAAAAGAAAATGGAAACTACTATTTAGGGCTTGAGTCCCCTTTGCTAAGTCCACCGCTGCCAGCTGGCAAGCCTCGCTCGGCCTTGGGCGTACAGTGAGGTGCTACGCATCAAAGCACTTCAGGCACAGTTTGCATCTTGACGGACGAAATCGCTTCCTTACAATGTCGATGTCTATCCGCAGCTCGAAAAGATTGCATGGAACCAGCTCATTCATTGCAGCACAGCAAAAGAAAACATAGCCACGGAAGGTTTGCACGCTCTTGCTTCGGTAGTCTTACCTGTGTGACGTCAAATCCATGATGCTGGCAGAGTCATTCCGCTGAATGAAGATCGAGCCGAATTCAAGAAAGTCCATGAAACGCTGCTAACACGCTGACATCCAACGCGGTAGAAACCTTCCATTCAGTAGGCACGAGGTCAATCCACCTAGAAGTCAGCTGATTGTTGTGGATTTTTTTTATATGTGGGCGGCTGCCCCTGCAAATGCCAGTGACCCGGGTGCAGCCTATCAATGCCTCCGAACCGTTGGAGATCGAGACCTCCGCCGGGTCGACGGTGGCGAGCCTCAAGCTTGGGATCGAAGAGAAAGTTGGTATCCGGGCCTCCGCACAGAGGTTGGTTGCTGGAGGCCGACTGCTGCAGGATGACCTGCTTGTGGAGTCCCTGGAACACCGGATTTTTCTGGCGCAGATTGGGCAACCCGCTGCGGAATCCCCTCCCTACGGATCCACCTCCGAGGTCACAGAGATCAAGCTGCTCATTCGAGCTATCTGGAACGAGGGCCAAGAAGAGTCAACAGTCTTTGCCAAGCCTCACCTGCCTGTTTCCAAGTTCAAGGAGAAGGCTGGGGCGGGGGCTGGAACAGTGCTGTGCTGCAGCTTCTTGGTGCCCCTAGCTATTTGCCTTACTGCCGATACTGAGAATCTTGCATGACCGCAAAATAGTAGAGCACCACAATATCCAAGATTTTAGTATCCACAGCATGGACGCTGCATTTTGACGGAGGTGTTATCTTCCTTCAACAGAGACGCGCTCGAGGATGGTGGGGAACTTAGCCGGGGTGAGGTCCAGAGCACAGCAACCCTAAACCCTGAAGCAAGGCTTAGGGTTTAGGATTTAGGGTTTATGGTATATATTGGGATTGTATGACGGGAATGATGGAAAAGGAAATGGAGACTACTATAGTTTTTTGGGGATTATATCGGGATATTATACTCACTACGGGAATAGCTGAACACATTGTCGTAGGGGTTATATTAGGATCATATTCCCTTCTTCCCTACTTACTAAGCACCAGCAAGTAAATCTTGACTTACTTCTTACTATACACCCCACAGAACCTCCAGAGCCCTTTAAAACTAGAAACCTCCTTGCATACTGCCGTAAAACCTCCATAGCCGTTTTAAAAGGAATCCATTTCTCCCCACATACCCCCCCCCCATGCCACCACTATAACCCCTTCAAAGGGAACAATGAATCCTTAGGCCCAAACACTCTGAAAGTCTAAGGGAGCTACAACTTCGTGTTTGCAGGCCAGCTCTTAAGCTCAGAGGCGCGGTGCCTTTACAATGCAGGGTTTAGGATAATGAGGAATCCACTGAACACGAAATAGCAGCTAAGTTTGTAGGGGTATATAGGGTTTGATTATAAGGGATACTACCCCACTGGTGGAAATCCACATGGAGAAGAACGAGGAAACGTAAAGTGGAAACTGGGGTTGTATAGGGATTGATTGATGGGTTGATGTGATTGCTAATATAGAATGATTTCTAATCGTATTTAGAGGTCTACTTGATGATTTTGTGTAGTTCTGATAGGGGCCCCTTTTCGCTTAATGGCCTGTAGCCTCAGCCCGTATAGGAGCATCACTTGCTCTTGGGGGTGCAGATGGATGCGAGTGCTTGGGCAAGTTCGCCAGAATATGTCGCGTCTGCTACGCACTTGGGAAAGATCAACTCCAATGCGAAGAATTATCAGGGGTGGCCCAAAAGCAGTACTGAACAGTCTTGGAACTGGGGTGCAAAGATTGGCTTGAGATCTGCATCCTATGAATCAAGCTGAGGGCCAAAGCTCAGGCACTTTGGAAGTGGAAGCCGCTGCTTTACGTTGTACATGTACCTCTTCTGCAAGGATTACAAGTCATAGCCAGGGTGCACCTCTAGCTGCAATTTTCTGGACATGGCATGCAAGGTTGTGTCCAGCTACTGAATCTGGATTCTATTTGCCACAGAAGATGAGTTGCACCTAAAGGTTTTCCAGGTGTGTAGTGAGTCGAAAGCCCACTCAGTTTGGATCTGATGAAGGAGTTTGAAAGCGGCTCACTCCACAACCATGACCCCTATATCCAGTACCCCCAAAACCCAAGTGCCTGAACCCTCAAGGGGATACACCCCTATCTGAGACATCCCAGCGCAATGGCAGGGTACCCTGGAGAGTCACGGCATTGAAGAGGGCGACAGCATTGTCGTCGTGGCGCGGCGTGTGGTGCACTCGGGGGAGAGTGCTTTGGGCCTTCGGATTCGGGCTGTACTGTTGGGCTTCGGGTGCTCAGGATTCAGATGATAGAACTTGAGGTTTGAGTGGAAAAGCCTTGTACAGAGCTCTCAAACAAGGATCTGCTGTGATATCTGTGATATTGATGCTGAAGGGGTCATGTGAAGAGTCTTGAACATGCAGGTTTGCTTACATGCCTACCGGAATTTGGAAATCCCAATTTCAAGGAATCCGACAATATGTCCGACAGAGACACCGGATTGGATTGGGTGTTCTCTGGAATCATTGTCGTTCACAAGAAGAACACCCAAAGTCAAGTGGCCGCCACAACTGATCCTGAACATTGCCGAGGGGCTTCCCTAAACCTTAACTCTCAACTCTAAACCCTAAACCCTGAACCCTAAACCAAAAACCCTAAATCCTACACCTTAAATCCTAAACCCTAGGCCCCGGACCTTAAGCCCAAACCCAAACCAGAGGCGCCAGTCACCCGCCTTGGCAGCTTCCGGCGCCGCATGGTGTTGTTCCTTCGCGGTGGGGGCCTGAGCAGCAACAGATGTGCATAAACACATACCTATTTTTTTGTCTCTCTCTCTCTCTCTCTCTCCCTATACATATATACACATACTTTGTTATATAACACAGTATCCATATATATATATACTTACAACATCACATAAAAGGCAATATATATATGTATATGTAGAGATATAGTATCAGCTTGCATCCCCGTCATACTCCAAAAGAATTGGAGACAGTATGGCTGAATTGTGTTTTCCTAAGATAGCAAATATGAACATGACGCCCCTCCAGTTTGCAGAAGCAGAGAAAGTTGGAGGTTCTAGCTCCTGACCCAGCCCATCTAGCATGATACGTGCGTTTAGAGTTTAGGGTTTAGGGTTGGGGGGTTCCCTACCCTAAACCCCTACACCCTAACCTTCCTGACTGTCAGTAGGACTATCGAGGAAAAGCCGGGGCCTGTGAGGTTTTGTTGTTTTTCAAACACTTCCTACGTAATTCCGAACAGGGACCCCAGATTCCCCTTCAGAATCACTGTAGATAGCGAGGATTATAGGCAGACCCCATGTTGAGAAACTTCCATAGACCCTAAACCTACATAGTAGTTTCTATTTCATTTCCATTTTCTTTTCCATTCGATTCTCCATGACCTATCCCCATATCCGAAACCCTCCTAAACCCTAAACCCTACTGTCAATCCTAAACCCTAAACCTTATATATCCCTACAATAACCCCATGTAGGCCCTAAATAGCCATTAGAACCTTATAAAATCCCTATATAGCTCTGTAACGCCCATATGCTAAACCCTAGAACCTTAAAACCTAAACCGTAAAACCCCAAATCTCAAACCCTAAACCCAAAAACCCTAAACCCTCTACCTAAATCCTGAAACCCTAAACCCTAAACCTTTAACCCCTAGATCCTAAAAACCCTAAACCCTAAAACCCTAAACAGTAGTTTCCACTTTCTGTTCCATCATCCTGGTATAACCCCAACATAACCCCTAATAATCCCTATATATTCCCTAGGTTCCATTTCATGTTCCATTTTCTTTTCTTTTTGATTCTCCATAAAATCCCCTATATAGCCCCCTATATAACCCTTATAACCCTGATTCACCTTTTCAAGTTGACCTCAGGCCTCCTGGCTGTCATTGTTTGGAGCCTCCACGGACTGGCTTGCCTTCCTGGGGCGGCCTGGCACTGGCTCCAGAATGCCTGGTGACCGCTATGAGTTTAGGGTTTAGGGTTTAAGGTATAGGGTTTAGGGTTTAGGGTTTAAGGTATAGGGTTTAGGGTTTAGGGTTTAAGGTATAGGGTTAGGGTTCAGGGTTTACTGTATAGGGTTTAGGGTGTAAGGCCTGCTGACTTACTAGGGATAAGCTACTGGCCCCGCTCTGTAACAGTTGGATAATATGTAAAACATATATGTATATATGTATATATATATATTGCCCTTACTATGATCCCTAATATAGACTGAGATTGTTGAGGAGGAAATGACATGTTCACCTCATGGCTAGAATAAAGTGTAGCTTCAAAGTCTTACCACCAGCATGCGATTGCTGCGCGCCCATGTGCATGTTGCAGTTGGTGCATAAACAGAGGTACGATCCGTGGAGCATCGTGCGGCCTTCTGTCCCTGAAGAGGCGAGGCAGTACGTTGGTGCACCTTGGGCCCGGCGAGCTACAGATAATTGACTGTTCTCAAATGGCTTTTTTATCCGCACATCCCACGCGCAAAATCTAGTCATAAGTCTTGCTCAAGATTTGGGGCTGGTGGGCTGTGTCCATGGCGCCACAGCAATACGCACTACAATGGGAACTGTTGAAGGTACTGGTACGATCACGGTCGCTACTGCTGCCAATATCTGAATGCTGTTTTCGCAGGTACTAATGATTGGAGCTGTAGTAAAATGTCATCATATTGACTTGCTTCTGTCACAGGCCACGACTATCATTATGTTCTTCTCCCTTGTCATGCTACTTTTTCTCCAGAACTTTGAATTGCATGATCATAGTTATTTTAGCCATTGCAAGTTAAAAACCCAGCTCTGAAATACACACCGCCCAGGGCCCATGTACCCTGAACCCTAAACCACTCATTACTCGACACCCAGAACCCCAAAACACACCCTCAACGCTGGGAGCTGAGCCTCCAAGCTCTGAAGCCTAAACAAAACCGGAAAGCGGCGCAATCCCTGAACCTTCAAAACCAGGGGACTCCTATATCCCCCTCAAAGGGACCCTAACTGTTCCGTATATGAGGTATGGTCCATATTAGGGTTACCGAGGGCCCATTAAGGGTGGACATAGGGGGTGCGTGTGCTAGTTTAATGTAGCCCCTAATATAGTCCGTAGTAAGGAACCCATGTCCACGAACTTATGTAGGAAACATTGATATAATCCCCTATATAACATATGTTTCCATTTCATTTTCCATTTCGTTTTCCATTTGATTTTCCATTGCAGTCATTGCCACTGTTCTGGCTCATATGACCCGTATAACCACCTAAACCCTAAACCATAAAACGCTAAACTCTAAACTCTAAAACGCTAAACCCTAAACTTAATGTGACCCTTATAACCCCTTAAAAAGAGAACCTTCAAAAGCAGGCGCGCCGGGGGCCTCGAATCCGCAGCCTTGGCTTCACAGCGCGGATGGCGCGCGGCTGGGCCGCAAACGATTTAGGGCTTGAGGGTTAGGTGAATTTAGGGTTTAGGATTTAGCGGTTTAGGGGTTTAGGTGATGTAGGTAATGTAGGTGATGTAGGATTCAGCGGTTTGGGGGTTTAGGTGATGTAGGTGATGTCGGGTTTAGGGGTTTAGGGCGCCCTTCCCGATTTTTCCTCGTTTGGATTGATCTTGTTTTAGGCTTTTTGAGCCTTAGAGGGCTTTGGCTGTAGGGGCTCGGATATAGGAATTTGGAAAACCCAGGCAGCGCAGATAGCATTATGAGGGTCAGACGCTTCTCAAAGGGATACCCTAAACCCTAAACCTTAAACCCTAAACCCTAAACCTTAAACCCTAAACCTTAAACCCTGAACCCTAATAGGGGATCTCGGGGATTCCAGAGCCTTGAAGCTTCCTAGCCTTACCAGGGCCTGAGCAGATGCTGAAGAAAACCTTCTGGGTATATATGTTGGGGTTTAGGGTTGTTTAGGGTTTAGGGTTTAGGGATATGGAAACTACTATAATGGAGAATCAAATGGAAAAGAAAATGGAAAATGAAATGGAAACTGGGATTATTATGGTGTATAGATAGGGATTATGTTGGGGATATATTGGGATACTGGAAAATAAAATGGAAGCTACTATAGTATATTAGGGTTTATTGTTGTATATTGGGGTTTATTTGGATAATGGAAAAGAAAATGGAAGCTACCATTGCTAAAACAACAAAGAGTGCTATTTTTGGGTAAGATAAGGTTACATGGGGTTCAGGGGTTTTATAAGGGAGTGGAAAAGGAAGTGGAAACTACCATGTTGTGTAAGGTTTAGGGTCTAGGGCCGATTAAAAGCCAACTCCCTAGTATTCAGTTTTCTCCATATATTATGATATACGGTATGGGTGTACCTAATACTACGGGGCTGGGGGCAATATTAGGGGGAGGGGATTAATCGGTTTAAAGGGATCGTTATGGGATTCCAGTTACTGAGTAGGGATCCTCCATTCACAAGTAGTAGGCATAATTAGATGCTTTTGGGTTTAAGGTGTGTAGAGTTCGGGGTCTTACACTTGAGAATCAAGGGTTAGGAATAACGGAACCAACAAAACGAACGATTCTTAAGACAAGTTCTCGAACATGTGGGTCCTTGGTTTGCTGTCCTCATTGGTTTTGGTGGATCAGGGTTTAGGGTTTAGGAGCAGAAATTAAGGTGATGCAACATCATCATGGATTGGACGAGCGAATCCAGGAAGAGGTCGGCCGCTTGTGGGTCGGACCCCAAACCCAAGACCTAATCCGAAATTCCGAAACGTGGTCTCCACTTACCCTCATTGGCCGAGGATTCTCTCAACTAGAAGCCCCAACAGGTGTGCCCATGCTTCCCTATACACTATGTAGGCTGAGCAACGAGCATTTGCCAGGTAAGCCCAATTCCTAAACCTTAAACCCTACGCCCTAAACCCTAAGCCCTAAACCGTAAGCCCTAAGCCCCTAAACCCTTAGCCCTAAACCCTAAACCCTAAAACCCTAAACCCTAAACCCAGGCCTACCCATTATAGTAGCTTCCATTTTCTTTTCCATCATCCCTACATACCCCCTATAATCTCTGTACAAACCGAGGCTCCCAGGTGAGCCCAATTCTTGTGGAAGGGCATGGCAGCAACCTGATCAGGGTTTAGGGTTTAGGGTTTTGGGTTTAGGGACCATGGGGATAAAGGGGAATCCTACAGGGATGTGAAGGGATTCTCTGGGATTTAGGGCTTAGGGTTCCGAAGGGATTATACAAGGAGTATCAAGGAGTATCTGGGATTTAGGATTTAGGGTTGAGGGTTCCGAAGGGATTATACAAGGAGTAACAGGGAGTATCTTGGATTTAGGGTTTAGGGTTCAGAAAGGATTATCCAGGAAGATGTAGGGATTGTACAGGGCTCAGGCGAAGGCAAGAAATTTTGAGGATTCTGGTTGCTTTGGGCGTCCTCGGCAGCTAGGTTTGTGTGTTTTGGGTACACGGGTTATCGATGAACTTCTCTAAATTGATCAGTTTCATGCCAAGTTAGGAAAGAACCTGCAGACAACTCCTGCTGAACACCCGAAAGTAGTGGGTGGCGGGGTGTTGTATGTATCCCAAACTCCAAACCCCAAACCCTATGTTAGGGTGGGAATGCCCAAAGAACCTACGCCCTAAACCAAACGGGCTTACACTCTCGCGGGTTAGCTGTTTAGTTGCTGGATGTTAGTAACTCAGTAGGAAGGGAATAAGACAATGGGAGCTACTGTCCTGGAGAATCATATGGAAAAGATGGAACATGAAATCGAAACTAAGGTTGTACAATAACTATATTGGGATATATCGCAGAAAAGGAACATGCAGTGGAAAATACCATATTACCCACAAGGTTTATGTATAACGGCTTCTGCAGGGATCTATGCCTCCATTCCATACTACTAATTACCACTCTAAGCTTATCGTACAATCCTGCAGAATTTTGATGCTCGATGGTTCCTCACGAAAGCTCACTCAACTTTTTGCAAGCACAGCTGGGGAGTGGTCTAGTAGATTCCAGGCGCAAGCCCAGAATAAGCTACCATTCAAGCCACACCTAGAATATACGCAAGTGACGAAGGAGAAGAACTCACCCCAACCTACCGTTGGTGGGTATGGAATGGATGGGATGAAGTCGTCTGTCTTGAGCCCCAGTGCTAATGTCCCGCTCCGTTCCTTTATTCCGTACTAACCACTCTAAACTCTAAGCCCTAAACCGTAAACCCTAAACGCTACAGTCGCATCTGTATTCTTTCATTCCTTACTTATGGGAGCTTTGTTGCGTGCCTGGCCTGCACTTGCGCAAAAACTCCATCCTTCGTTTCAAACACCGGCTCCTGGAGAAGAGACCACACCTTTGCCGGTGCTTACCTTCGCTTAGCTGGGAATGAAGGAAAGGAAAAGAAAATGGAAACTACTATGATTGGTTATATAGGGACTACTATAAGGATCCATTCCTTCATTGCTAGCTAACCGAAGGTAAGGGTTGGGGGTTGGAGGCCGGGGGTTTAGGAGACCAGCGTTGTGGAATGTTTTTGAAGGTCTGCGGTGAAGGGCTTGGAAACTTGTAGCTGTAGCTCCTCTCTGATCCAGCAAACTTGCGATTCCTTCGGGGTAAAGAAGGCATCTGCGCATAAATTTTGGAAACAACCCCTACATAGTCCCTATACCGCCCCAAACTCGTTTTATACCTCCCACGGATCTCTAGATTTCCTAGCGTCACCCTATTTTGGGAAACTGCAAAGTCGACATCTGCCTGCAGTTGCATTATCCAAGGCTCCATTTTTCTCAGGGCTGAGGATGTCCAATCTGTATAGGTGGGGATGAAGGTTTCAGGGAGATTAGGAACCGCTTTTCCGGCGTGAGTAGGGATTCATCTCGAATCTCGAGAAGATCTCATATCATCTTCACCCAACAACAGACAGTGGATATCCCTAGGTGGATCTCCCCGCCCTGTAATAGTGTAGTGGAATATCCAGAGGATCCTAAACCCAAAGCGCTGTTATCCCTTAAAGTCACCATTACTGGGTGCGGGGTCCACCAAGACATCCTTCAAATTGCTGAGGTAACGGGGAAGGGTTAGGGTTAGGATTTAGGGTTGCGATTCAACTCCAGAACACAAATCTCTGATATTGAGCTCGGACTTGGACAGCCAAACTTATATGTAACATGAATGGCACGACTACTTCACTGCCCTCCCCGGAATACTACTCTCACTATTACAACTACAAGAAATTTGTATGGCTATCTCACCCTTAAATGCAGAAAGGACTTTGATCAAACAAGGGCACATGAGCGGGCCACAGGACCCAGGGCCAACGAAGCGCCAGAGCCATGACAATCCTAACCTCTGACTTACCACGTGCGGTGCCTTTGGTCATAAGTTGTAATGCTATGACGATTAACACTGCAGAGGTTCAGAGCTCGTGGTTTTGGGC